ATATAAAGGTTTGGGACTTCGGCCATAAAAATAAAAGGTTTGGGTGTAATCTGCAACAAAATGAAAGGTTTGGGACCACGGCCGCAATTTTCCCTATATTTTATTGTATTTAGAATCTGCGATAAAATTTTTCTACTCACTAGTCATTTAATGTTGCCAAGTTTGAGAACTTGACAAGGACCTACCTTTGACCAAAATAATTCTGTATCATAATGTGCTGAATCTCTGTCATATGCTTGCCTGTGCTACTTAATTTTTCGTTTTGGGATACTGCCATAAAAATAGAGCACTGGCTCAGTGTTATCAACATATAGGCTGTTTATAGATTCTAATTATGTTATTCAGTATTATAAACTTATAGGTTGTATATAAATTATAATTATGTTCTTCTGAATTTTCTTCCTCTTGTTTTCATAATATTTTTTCCCTTGCTGGTTACTGCTGTAATTATTTGATTTGGGTTCTTTCAGGCCTTTGGAGCCACTTCCAGGCTTAACATTGCCCGAAACTGGTGAAATGCATAATATTCCACAGGTGAAAGGTCATCGAGGAAGAAAGAAAAGAAAGTTAATATCCTGTTTGCTTTACTCTTTTGATGCTCTTTGTTCAATTCTTCCACCAGGAAGAGATACCAAAGATATTGAAATTTTGTTGCTTTCCTTTTGTTAGGCATTTGGAATTGAAATTGAATGGAACGTCACCTGGACGATCTTCAATGCGCATTTCATCAAGAAACAAGAGTCAGTGGACGATAACAGAGAAGTGGGTGATTCTGCTTAACTTCTGTTTATTTAACTCATGATTTTCTTTTTCTCTCTATTCACGACTAAACATTCAAATAAATTTAACTCTAGAATCTCTTTCAGTTCTCTTACATGTTGAGTTTCTCTTCTTTAATATGTTTATTCGTGCAATAATAAGGTCGCCGAGATCAGCCACCGGAAGTTCTTTGGTGAATTTATCGAAATCGACTTCCGTTCCGAACGCAAGTGGTATTGGTTCCTTGCAGAGCTCCATGAAACATAAGTCTCGGAAAAAAATCTTGAAGAAGTCGGTCGATATATCTGTGTTGAATTTCCATTTGAGCACTCCCAACACAATATCTTAATTTTCATTACATATTTCATTTCTGTGTTTTAGGTCATCAAATTTCCCTCCAGTTTCAAAGTCCTTGAAAAGTTCATCTTCATCTCTCTCTGCACAAAAAAGTTCATGGAAGATAACAAAAAAGTTTGTTCAATCTACGCTGTTGCTTTCTTTGTCATAAATTAACTTGCAGATAATGTTCACAATTTTTACACTAGATTATGAGAAAATGATATTGGTCTTATGATGCCATTATTCACAGAGATCAGTCATTGCACAAAATTGTTTTCGAGGATGGTGGATTGCCCGATGGAACTGAAGTAGCTTATTATTCTCATGGAAAGGTGGTCCAGACTAATGCTACAGGAACTATCTTCGGTTTTTCAATTTCAATATCTTAATTTTCTGCTTTTCCATTTACAGAAATTACGTGATGGTTATAAAATGGGGTCAGGAATACTCTGTCGTTGCTGCAATATTCTGGTAACACAATTTACTGGTTAAGTTTGGACTTCCTGAATGTTTTAGCTGATGTGCTGATTCTTTTTTCCTATTATGCAGATAAGTCCATCTCAGTTTGAAGCTCATGCTGGTTGGGCATCACGCAAAAAGCCGTTAGTCTTCTTTCTCCACTCCTCTTCTTCCACTTGAAGGTTTGGAAATATGTAACTTTTTTTTATTATCTAAAGTAACGTTTCTTGTTTTATTTTCTACAGCTATATGTACATCTACACATCTAATGGGGTGTCTCTCCATGAATTTGCCATATCTCTATTGAAAGGTCGCATGTCTTCTGCTAAAGACAGTGATGGATTGTGCATCATTTGTGCAGATGGTGGGAAACTTGTGCTTTGTGATGGATGTCCAAGGGCCTTTCACAAAGGTGAACTATTGATTTTTTCATTGATTGATGCAGATATATTATGATCTTCCCCTATCAAATACTTTCTGCGCTATCTTAAAAGTGAAAGCTTATTCAGGAGTAGTTTTTACCTCCAAGAATGGTACGTGAGGGAATAGCCAAGAATAGAGAATCCACTTCAGTTGAATCCGTCTTGTCTTGATCACGTGTTCGACAGTTCCAACTCTTAGTTGCTTTGAACCTTATTTTTTTATCGTTTGGAGATTCCTTCAGATTCTCCCTTATCTTCTCTATTTTCTTCTCCTTTTCTTCTTTTTGTTTTGGGGTGGGGGGATTACACACATACCAACATACATCTTAGGGGATGAGGGAGCAGTAGTATTTGTAAGAAGAATCTAGACCACTGTTAGGGGGAAATCTACATCCTGCTTTCATCTGTTAGATGAGAACACTGAATTGAGAAGTTGAAGTACACCTTCTCCCTTTTGGCGCATGAGAGAGAGGTGGGTTTGGATGCCTATTTAGATGAAACAATAGCAGCTACATTGGATCTATGCAAAATTATATATGTAAAGAAATATGTATTTATATGTAGATACTGTGCCTGTGTATGTGTATCTTTCTATACGAGTGTATTTACATTTGGGGACTGTTCAACCTGCCAATAGATTTGACAAGTCATCGTAGCCTGTAATTTTAAAATGATTTAATGGTATAGATTAATGTTATTATTATTTATTTTTAAAAAGTAAAACTAATCATCTTCTCCACCCCCGTCTCTACCGCCACTGTCGCCCCGAATTTGCAGATTCAACAGGGATTTCTCCCCAGTTTTATCGAATTCACGGATTCGGGGGGTGAACACGGGGGAAATTCCCCCTGATTAAGGCTAGGGTGTGGTGGTGGTGGGGTGAAGAAGATAGATAGTCCCTGTTTGGTTCAACTAAAAAGTTGGATAAAAATCTAAGTCAAATTCAACAATTAATTTTAATCACGCATTTCATAAAACCCACAATTTTTCAGCCACACATTATATAAACTTTTATCAAAATCTACTAAAAATTCAATTTTTTTTTTGACTGAACCAAATAGGGGCTTACTTTTTTGTTTTTTAATTATTTTGTTTCGTTAAAATTAGATATACACTGCTAGATTAGTTTAATTTAAAGGCTGTCATGATTTGTCAAATATATTGGTAGGTTGAAATGGTCTCCTTTAAATTTAACACGCAAGCTTTTTGTATTATGTTATACTTGTATGAATAGTGAGGTCATTATGTGGGTGTGCATCTTTTTCCTACACTTTAGGTATATTTTGGAAGAAGGCTAGTTTATCCTTGTCTTCCTTCTAAAGTGCCACTATTACCAGTATTGTCAATGACAGGTTAACTTAATGAAATGTTTTAACTGGAGTTCTCTTCTGTAGATTTTGATTTAAAGGCTGGTTTTATCCTTGTCCTTCTACTGCCACTGTCACCAATATATGTTAATGATAGTTAAGTTAATGAATTGTTTTAACTGGAGTTCTCATCTATAAAATTTTTGATTTAAAATCAGGAGCCTGTTTCTTTTATCTCATTCCTCTCGAGGAATCTTTTCTTGAAATGGTTCTGCTGCACCTTCAATTGCTATACTTTTGTTTCTATCATATTTCTAACTTGATTGTTTGTTGAGCTCATTCAGAGCTATGTGCAAGAATATAAGCCTGAAAAAGATCAAACTTGGCCATTTTTCTATGTGGTTAATTTAAATAATGTCTCCAGCTCAAACCGGAATGACAGTTGAAGCCCTAATAGCATGTACGATTTGCATCTGAAAACTTCTTCCTATCATGAACCTTGCCTATTAGGGATACAAAAAGTTATACTCTGAGTGAGCTGCTCAGTTTAACAGTATTCTCATCTTGCCATGCAGAATGTGCATCCTTGTCAAGTATCCCCCCAGGAAAATGGTACTGCACATATTGCCGAAACATGTTTCAGAGGGAGAGATTTGTTGAGCATAATGCTAATGCAATTGCAGCTGGTAGAATGTCAGGTGTAGATCCAATCAAGCAGATAACAAATCGTTGCATTCGTATTGTCAAGAATCCTGGAGAATTGGAAGTTATTGCATGTGTAATCTGCCGGTAATGAACATGTATAATAAACATCTTCGACATCAGATGTTCACTATCATATTCATTCTGAATATCCTAGCTTATTATGTTTGCAGAGGCTATGATTATGCCAAATCTGGTTTTAGTCCCAGCACGGTTATATTTTGCGATCAGGTCTTCTTCCAGCTTTTAACTTTAGCTTTTCCTCGTTAATTTTGTGATTTGAATGGATTACCGTACTTCAATTATCTCTTCATTTCTTCCCAGTGTGAGAAAGAATATCACGTGGGCTGTCTGAAAAAACGCAAGATAGCAGATCTAAAGGTGTGCATATAAGCTATAATAGGACTAGTTTGTTCATATTCTCTGCATATATGATCTATTATCCGTGTCGATAATTCTTACATCTCTGTCTGAAAATAAATTTGATGCACTTGTGAAAAACAGGAAATTCCTGAAGGAAAATGGTTCTGTTCTGTGGATTGCAAGAGGATCTATGCTGCATTGCAAAATTTGGTGAGTTCTGGGGCAGAAAAGCTTGCAGACTCTTCTTTAGGTGATATAAGGAAGAAGCACAAGGAAAATGATTTGGATTCTGATTCCGATCTTGATGTGAGCTGGAGGCTTTTGAGTGCGAAAGTTTCATCTCGTGAAACTAGAGTGTTACTCTCACAGGCTGTAGCTATATTTCATGTAAGCATTCTTGGACCA